ATTGTTATTACTTTATCACGTCCTTTCTTGCAGGTTTAAAGGGAATTGTACTTGAAATCACGCCTAATAAGATAATTAATAATTTGATTTTAGGCTAATATGATTTTAATTCAAGTGATTACCAATAATAGATTTATTTGTGCATTAATGATCAACCAACATAGATTAAACAGGTTTAGGGTTAACTTGTTGTATGTATGTTGATCGGAAAGCGCACATGAATATCATAAGAAGTTAAGTAGAGGCCGATTTAGAGCGGGGTTCAATCTCTTTTAGGTTGGATTCGTTCCATCATCCCCGAATATCCAGTCATGGTTCCGGACCACTATGGAGTTAGCGATCTCTGTGATCGTGAATGGGTGTAACCTTCACACCCGTGAACGGTTTACAAGTTCCTAAAACTTGTTGGCGACTATTATATCTCTAGCTTCTTTCCCTTTAGACGCCACCATTCTTAAGTGCATGATCACAGTGGGGCTCAGAGTTGATGTTTGAAATATTCCCTACAGTTTTTTGGCAACTCCACCGGGGAGGATTTCTAATTTTGAATCCTAAAATTTATTTTGGCAATTAACTTTAGAATGAGTGGATGAGACTTGAAAGATTCTAGATATTCATTGTGCGTAATTTTGATTAACATTGTGGCATAAGCATAAAAAGGTCTGCATTGAAAAAACCATCCGAAATGCGTCAAAAATATAGGATTTTTACACGTAGGAATAGTCAGAAATATCTTTCACAACTAGAATCGAAAAAATACTACGAAAATCGAAAAACCCGAAGAACACAGAAAACTGCCTCGAAGCGTAGGAACTGTCGCAAGACGACAGGATTCATCACCATGCGATGGCTATATCGCGATGCGATATTGCTATCGCTGCGCGATGACTCCTGTTTTCTCGCACCGAGTTCTCCCGACATCGCGCCAGGAATCTGCCTTCTTGTTTTAACCGATTCTAGTACTGTTTCGCCAATTCCACTTCCTGATTGAGTTTTTTCTTCTTTTCTGAACCCATATGTGTTCTACATATGGTTTTAGCCCCTGGGAATTCACGCTCCATCTACCCAATCGAACGCTCCGTGTAACGACGGGTACATCCGAGTTTGTGAATTTACCAAACCATGAAAGCAAGTCTAACTTGCAGGGTCCCATCCATACGCGCCAACCCTTCCAAAGGTAAGGATTCTGCGCGATGCATCCGGACTCATAACCACGGACCCTCTTTGACTACCATAATCTTTGAACTTTAGAGAACTAGAGCCATGGTTAGGTTGCAAACTCATTGCATATTGTGACTATTTGACTAGTTGTGCATTCTTTACTTGTGCATATCTTGCTTGTGATAAAATAACCTCTTGTGTTGACTTGTCTTAATGAACTAAATAATGACTAAAAAAGGACTTTGCTCAATTAATTAATTAAAAAATTGGATTAATACGGTCTAAATGTACTCAACCTACTAAGACTATAGGCTTCCCTTTTGAAAGAATTACCGAAAACAAGTTAAATTGACGTTCCAGTTCTGGCGCGAAAGTCTGGCTTGTAACGTAGAACGTTAGTTCTATCGCGACACGATATTTATATCGCGCTGCGATAGAACCAATGCGATGCGATGGTTCCATCGTTTCGCGATGGTTCGATTTTCCTTTCTGAGTCTCCACGTCGAGTCTAAACTTTTTTTATAACCAAGGTCTTAATTTGGTTTTTGATTGAGTCTAATCACATGTCCCATGGTCATTACACGAGTCTTGAGCATGTCACTTTCACTCACTGGTCAATGCACACTTTGTATATGTCACGACCATGTCTAGAGTCTTGTGTGCGCTTTTCCGTCATTTTTTTAGGGGGGTAAGTCGGATATTATCCTCCTAACACAAACCATGTTAAAATCCCCATACTTGATTCCCAAAATATGCACCCATTTTTAAAATAAAAGTCAATTCAAGTCAAATCATTAAAAGAGTCAATGGTTTAATTTTACAGCACTTGGTCAAGGAGATAAGGGCGTTTAATCAAAGACAACACCTTCGTTCAATTACTACTCTTCGATAGACCGATTCGACGCAGGAAAAAGTTCATTATAATGGCCAGTCAAGAAGAAGTCGACCAACTTAAACAAACCGTCAATGGACTCGCCGAGATGCTTAAAGGGCTTACCACCCTAGTCAACGACCCTAATAAGCAAGTGCCAGTCGAAACCATCAAGCGTATGGAGGACAACTTGAGTCAAATCTCTAATGATTATAAGTACCTTGGAATTAGTTCCAAAGGGGTCTTAGTAGATAAGGATCTTCTTCCGCAGAAATTCTATGCTAATGACATCCCTAAGTTCAAACCCATCGACAATCCTTACTTTCATTTAAGGGCTTTCGAAACAATCATGGAGATCAAAGGGTTCGACACGAAGGTTTTCCCTTCACTATTATCACTTTCTCTTGACCCGTGTGTCAACAATGGTTCCTCTCCATGGACAACGAGAAAACTGCTACTTGGGAATCTATCACGCATGCTTTCATTGATAGATATAAATGTAATATTCAAGTAGAAACTGATCATAGGGAACTTGAAATGCTAAAACAGAAAGACAATGAAGGTTTTACTGCTTTCTATATAAGTGGAAGGAAACTTCTGCTAGAATGATCGAAGTTCCTAATGAGAATGAATATGTTAGGATGTTCATTAAGAACCTCCAAGACAAATATCAGAAGCATTTAAGATATCAATGCAATCTAAATACTTTCAAGGCCGTCTACAATATAGGCATTGAAATTGAAGATGACCTGGCAAAACAAAAAGCTGCTAACAGAAGTAACAACAGTGGCTAGAAAGGAAAGAAGAATGACAATCCTTCTTCTTCCAAGAATGCCCACTCTAATAACAATGTTAGTACCTTTGATCTAAACCACGTCCTAGCCATGAATAATCAAGGACCACATTGGGATGAGCTACGACACCGCCTTTGATTGTCTTCATGCAAAGGGACTTATTACTCCTATTGGACCCATTCAAGATCCCGCACCTGAAAGGAGGTCATCCAGTTGGAATCCAAATGCACACTGCAAGTATCATCAAGGTAGGGGCCACTCTACTGAAAGTTGTTGGAAATTGAAGGAAGCTATCCAACACATAATCGATAACAACAAACTTCCAGTGCCTCTTGCTATCAAGAAACCAAAAATCAACAACTCTCCACTTTCTGATTCCTTGGCAATTTCTAATGAACAGGATCCAATAGATCCATCGCTCCTCATTAAACCAATCAAAGATTCTCCCATGGAAGAAGTTCATGCCATTGAAGAAGAAGAGATCCAATATATCCATCGCTCCTCACTAAACCAATCAAAGATTCTCCCATGGAAGAAGTTCATGCCATTGAAGAAGAAGAGGAGATTTTCTTCGATGCCATTAGTGATTTCCAAGAAGAAACTACTAATAAGAATGGTGGTAGTCAAGGTCCTACTAGGGAAGAAGTTTATGTCCTTGTCAATACTCTGCAAGAAATAGCCCTTAAACTTCAAGTTCTTTATAAGAGGGTAGAAAGAATGGAAAATAGACATATCCTCGAAAAGGAAAACGATTCCTCCTCTCCTGACACTGTTGGAAGAAAGCCCTTCATTTTCAACGTTGTTAAACCACCCACAAAAAGGAGTAACAAAGCTTACACACCCATAGGCACTACTTATGAAAGAGCCTTTGACATGCTTTTTGAAAGAGACATGGTCAAGCCTCGGGAACCAAAACCATTCGAGTCCCTTAAAAGAATGGACCAACTCTACTGCAAGTACCACCAATCCGGGGGTCACACAATCGAAGAATGTTTCGAATTCAAAGACCATATCCAAGGACTTATAGATGATGGAAAACTTTTCATCAACCTTCCAAAAGTGGATGATGACACCAACATCAATGGGATTTGGGATAGTGGTGATGAGGATGTATACCTCAAAGACATCGAAGAGCCACCACTTGTCGCACTCTACCCAGTTAATTGATGGCATTTGGGATGAGGAGGAAGAATCCCCAATCACTGTACTTACGAGGTCCGGAAGGTTACAACCACCAGTCACGAATGCACCTGTCCCTACAACTCAACCAATCCTAACACCTCTCATAGAAGATAATGACGTTGTCAAACAACTCAAGAAGACTAAGGTTGAGATGAATGTTTGGAAACTCCTAGCCTCGTCTCGTGAACATCGAGTCGCAATAATGGATGCTCTAGCAAAAGTAGGGATAGATTCTGAAACTACTGCAGAGGGGTTAGCTAACTTCCTTACAAGTGGCCTCCCTAGTCCCATCAACTTGACTACCTTTTCTGACAAGGATTTACCCTCGGAAGGAGATAAACACAATAAAGCCTTGAATCTCACAGTAGTTTGCAAAAAAATGAATGTGCCCATGACCCTTGTAGATAATGGCTCAGCAATTAACGTATGCCCATTTCGTATTGCAAGAATGCTGGGAGTAAAGGATGAAGACTTAACTCCATCCACACAAGGCATAAGGGCTTATGACAACACTCGTGGCTAAGCTCTTGGATGTTGGTAGCGTCCAACGCTATGCGAAAGAGAAACCCGCCCAAGACCCGCCCACTAATTAAAGCAACTAAACATCCAATCACATAGTTAACAACATAAGAGAGAGAAAGAGAAAAGACATTCTTACCCTTGACGTGTGCTTCGCTCGATTCACGAGCTCTTACTTCAAAGCTCGAGCCACGCAAGTGCGACGACCTCCTACAGCTCGCACCCTCGACCCGACCCGACCGTAGGGCTAGCAAACAGATCAGGTCGGGTCGGGTTCGTGTTTGGGTCATTTCGGTTTCGGGTTGAAAACCCCCGACCCGAACCTGACCTGTTTAATATTTCGGGTCATAAAGCTTAACCCGAACCTGATTTTTTCGGGTTCGGGTCAACCCGAATCTAACCTGAATTGACCTGATTTTTTTTATATATATTTATTTATTTATTAATTTTTTTGGCAGATTTGGTATTGTTAATTCGTATTAGAATCAATTTAATATGGTAAATTCACAGATGTATAAATTCACAAATTACATACGTATAATTTACATAGATTTATTCAAAGCAAAAAAATAAATAAATAATTTACATTTTATAATGCAAATAATTTACATAAATTTTTCTCATGTAGCGAACTTTTGAAATTGTGAGCTTCTACTTAAAGTAGCTTAAGATCTGACCCAAATTTCGCACATGCATCAACCTATTATCGTTGGATCTAATTGGCTTCTTCCACAAAGTACCTTCAAATCACAAATCAAACATAACTATTAAAAAAAAATTGACAGAACTGTAAAAGAAATTATATAAAAAATTATATGAACATGTATAATTTATATCAACAAATCAACAACAATAAAAATTAACAACAGAAATATAAGCATATTAATAACATCAACAACAAAATTCTAAAACAAGACCGTATTTTAAAAACAAAAAAAAAAACAAAAACGTATAAAAGAAAATTCGAAATCAGCAAATTAGAGAACTTCTGAATTTGTGAGCTTCTACTTGAAGTAGCTTAAGATCTGACCCAAATTTCGCACATGCATCAAGCTATTACCGTTGGATCTAATTGGCTTCTTCCACAGAGTACCTTCAAATCACAAATCAAACATAACTATCAAAGAAAAATTTGACAAAACTGTATAAAAGAAATTATATAAAAAATTGTATGAACATGTATAATTTATATCAACAAATCAACAACAATAAAAATTAACAACAGAAATTTAAGCATATTAACAACATCAACAACAAAATTCTAAAACAAAACCGTAATTTAAAAAGAAAAAAAAAACAAAAACGTATAAAAGAAAATTCGAAATGAGCAAATTACCTTGGTTGAACGTTTAAAACGTGAAGGAGATCAAGAAAGTCGAAGATAGAGAGCGACTCACAAAGGACTTTAAGGTTTGAAATTTGAGAACTTGAAAATTGAAGAGAGAGAAAATTGAAATATAGGAGAGAAAGAGCGGCTGAGAGCTTGAGAATGTGTGAGGAATTGAAAGCTATTTGGGATTTTAGGGTTTTCTGTTATATATACTTCGTATTATAATAAGAACCTAATTGGGTTGGGCCGAATTATATACATAAATAAATAGGTTTCTTTTTTTATTTTTTTATTTATTTATTTTTTTTCTAATCTAACTAATACATGTTCGGGTTATTGGGTCGGGTTCAGGTTAACCTGACCTAATTTTGACCCAAAAATAATTTCGGGTTAAGTGGGTCATTTTCGGGTTAGAATTTTCAACCTTAACCTAACCCATTTAATTTCGGGTCGGGTTCGTGTCAACCCATTTAAGTTTTCGTGTCGAAAATCTCAACCCTAACCCGCTATTTTCAGGTTGGGTTCGGGTCGGGTTTTCGGGTCGGGTCAGTTTTTGTCAACCCTACTCGACCGGTCTTAATCCCGAAGGTTAGTCGGGACTTGACCAAATAAAACTAGAGTATTACGAACTTAAAGGTTTTCTCACTAATGATGAGATGCCTTATTGAGTTCAACTCAAGTGATTTTTCCCAAACCCAAAACTTGGGAATATATAGGGAAGGGAGCCTTGATCTCCCTTTTCCCATCAATGTGGGATATTTGCATTTTCCTCAATTTTATTTTAATCAAAAACAAAATAAAATGCAAGATCAATCAACAAGCTCCAAGTGTCACATGGAGGGAGAGAGTAGGTGAGGACCATTCAAGGGGGGGGGGGGACCAAATCCCCTTACTCACCAAGCAATCCCTTAAAATCGGTCCCCACACAAAACCGCACACCACCTCGCCACTTGGCTGGATGGCAGCCTGCCTTGGCTGCCAGCTGGCGCCTAGCACCAAGGCTGGGCAGCCCAGCCAGCCAACATGCAATATACGCGCAGCCAGCAAGCACGCAGCTAGCCAGCGCATACGCATGCGATGCTGCTGCTGCTTGGTGCATGCTGCTATGCGAGTGGCGTGGTGCTTGGTGCTGGAACGCTAGCACGCACATCTACGCACACGTACACACAACACGCTGATATGATGCATGTGCTGTGCGAGTACGCTGCTTGGTGTGAGGCTGCGAAGAGCTAAGCGCTAGGCCCTAACATGCTAGAAAGCACACATAACATGCATACGCAAGGCATGCACCATGCTTGCATGCTAAGCGCAGCCTAGCTGCAGCTATGCGTGTGGCTGGGTGCGATGCCCACCACGCTAGCATGCATGCGGTTGGTGCCCTCGCCTAGCCTAGCACTCACATGGCTAGGCCAATGCGAGGCTACGGTTTGGCTCGTACTTGTCTCTTGCTTGATTCTATGTCTCGTCGAATTCTAAATTCGACTCGACTTGCGACGCTCGGTCTCGACGCTCTAAGCTCGATATCCGACATCTTTGTTCGTAATACTCTAATGACTCATCTAATCCTTCGGATTGATTCGTCGATTCGGATAGGTTATTCGATAGGGATGCGACCCGAAGCGTTTGGTCAAGATTAAGCCGTAATATTAATTATGCATTAATATTACTAATCGGAAGCGGCCTCCACCTTGGCATTCCGATCACTTGACCTTACTGAAGAATTAGCTTTCTAATAATTCTGAACCCTCTATCGGAATAATACACTTGTTGGAAGGACACCATTCCTTTCACAATCATTAAAACGGAAATGTTAAAGGATCATCTCAACCAAAAGCTTTGCGGCATAGGCCCTCCACGAGGTGTTCCAAACGAAGGGTTGAGAGATATTTAGAAGTGTCTCGCAGGGGCAGGTTGGTCATTTCATGCGGGATTTGAATTTTTCCATTGTAGATTCAGTGGTACAAAATACACTATCAGTGGTACAAGATATCATTTTAGTGGTATTTCAAAAAAGGTTCAAATGTCTCATTAGGCTGTCAAATAATACCCCATTGGAGTTTCACTGATACAAAACACACTCTCAGTGGTACACAATACAATTTCAGTGGTACTTACAAAAATACTCAGTGGTACAAATATATTCTCAATAGTTGTGGTCCCAATTCATTTTTGTCTTTTTTGCACGTGAAACCATTTCTGACAGAAAGGTGGGCCCCACCCTACCCTTTTTTCACTCTCTTTATCTCTCTCTTCCTAGTACATTTGTTATATTATTTTATGTTTTATTTTGTCTCACAACCCTCCAAATATACTTCCTCGACCTTCCACATACCCAGCACGAAATATTCCACTTGAAAGTGAGGGGTGGATGAGATTTGAACCCGTGACCTTTGTGTCATGTTGGCTCCGATACCATGTTGAAAGACCAACTCAACTAAAAGTTTAAGCTAATGGTTAAAGCTCAAAAATGTGTTTTATACTCTATCAGGAGAGAATGCAAATTAGATAGTGTACATGTACAAAATCACATGATATGAGCAAAAGATGTACGTAATGTTGTAACTAGGGTGTTCAACGGACCGGACTGAAGACCAAAGAATTTAATTTCAAGATTCAAAGACCGGACATGTCAACTTGAACCGGGCCAAGAAAACATGTCCAAAACCTGGACCAAGTCGGTTTGAACCAATTACAAAGTATTTTTTGGAAAATTTCAAAAAATTTAATGATATTATGAAGAAAAAAAAAAGTAGTTAAAGGAAAAAATATATTTTAATGTCTTCTTTTATAAGAATATTTTAATGTCTTCTTTATAAGTATAATAATACAAAAAAATCTTATAAATCATGGAATCCCAATTTATTAAACATAAATTAAATTCTTTTTAAGATTTCGTTTATAATTTTTAGCAAAAAAAAAAAAAAAAAAAAAAAAAAAAAAAAAAAAAGTAGATTTGATCCAAGCTAGACTAAATTTTAACGGATTTCGAGTTTGAATGAAGACCAGAAAAATTAATTTTTCAACCCGAAAACTACATTGTTTAATTCGGTCTAGTGTCGATGCGGCCCATTTTCCCAGTTCGGACTGTTTGTAGAGAAATATGTTATCTCTAGAATGAAATAGCTAGAAATATATATGTATATCAAAATTGAGTTGTATTTTATAGGAAAAATTACAAATAGTAATCCCAACTTTCACAGATTTTGTATTAATAATCCCAACTTTGGATTATTCTGAAATAATCCGAACTTTGGGAGGTGTTGATTTTCTTCAATCCCTAACCGGTCAACAGAAGTCAATGACCTATTACATCAGGTCACTTGACACATGTCATGGTCCAAAAAATTTTAAAAATAAATAAACAAAATAAAAAACCCAAAAATCACAAAACATCAGCCAACCTCTCCTTCCCTCACAGACCCACCTTAACACCACCAGCCCGTGCCCAGACCGCCGCTTATTCCCTGCCGGCCAGCCGCCCCTTTCCAGCGCCGACTTCCCCCCTTCCCAAAATCCCCTGCCATTCCCTCAAACAACCACGAAGTAAACCCCTCCCCAACTCCTAAAAACCCCAAACCGCCTTTCCCCCACCTCAAAACCCTACCACCTAGGGTTTTCGATGGTGGGGGGTTTTCGAGAGTTAGAGAAGGGTGGAATAGGAGTTTCGAGTGGTGGTGGTGGTGGTGGTGGCTATCGCAGCCATCGGAACCCCAAAATTGCAAAATCGCAGCCATCGGTACCCCAAATCGCAACTTCAAGGGAGTTTCGCAAATTTAGGGGGTGGGTTAGGTGTTTTCGGGAGTAGGGGAGGGGTTTCAAGTGAGCTTCATAACCGGTGTGCCAGCCGGAGTTCGTGACTGGGGGAATTGAGAGGGGAGAGAAAATGAAAAGGGGTTTGGCCGGATTTCATGGCTAGGGACATATTTCGTGGCTGGTGGCCGGATATCGTGGGTGTTGGCTGAATTTCGTGGTTGGTGGTCGGGTTTCATGGCTAGCCGGATTTCATGGCTGGTGGCCGGCGTCCATAGGTGGTGGTCGGATTCAAGGGTTTTCTACTTTTCTGATTTTTTTTTTTATTTTGTTGTTTTTTTTTATTATTAAATTTTCATTAACCAATTAACTTGTGACACGTATCACTTTTTTTAAAAAAAAAAAAAAACCATTCAACCGGTCACCGGTTTTTGGGATTGAAGAAAAACAACAACCCCCAAAGTTCGGATTATTTCAGAATAATCCAAAGTTGGAATTATTGAAACAAAATTCGTGAAAGTTGGGATTATTATTTCTAATTTTTCCTACTTTAAAACCTACATATTTAATCGAAAAAGATGGCCAAGATGTACAACGACTCACACGAGGATCAATTGTTATATTATTCTATAACAATAAGTATGAGCATAAACATACCCAAAATTATTTGGTTTAGAATAATTAGATCAAGATCAAATCCTTTTCTTGCCTATTGTGGTCGATGATGCATATGTTAACAATTGAAATTGTGAAAATTTCATATCACAACCTATAAATGCATAATCAAGGAATACGTACAAAGTATATTATAACGGATAAATTTGATGGTTTTAAAAAAACTGATAAGTTTGATAATTTATATTTTTAATATAAGTAAAGATTATACAAAGTTGATATTATGAACATATAATTTTTAGGTTTAAATTCTGGTTGATTGAATTGGATGGAAATATTTTTTAAGAAAAATAATTTTTAGTGGAAGATATGATTGTCAAAAAAAATTTCTCATTGTTTTTGTATGTGCATGAAAACTTATTGAAAAAATGAAATAGCAAAAATAAAGGGAGGAAAAAATGAAGAAGATAAAATAATACTTCATAGATTTGTAAAACAATGAGGAAAATATGAGATATAATATTTTGTAGAAGAAAACAATTTTGTAATAGATTTTTACATTTGAGAAAATTGTTTCAAAAAGACTTGCGTGGACCTGGTCCACAATAATATTATTGTGGACCAAAGGTCTATACACACGCAACTGACATTATATTGAACATAGTGACCATTATTTTTAACATAGTAACCTTATTTTTAACATAGTAACCTTTATTAAAACTACTACAACGTTTAATAATATTGTGAACTTGAAATACGACGCTATTACCCTAATTTTAGCATAGTAGCCTTTATTATTCATATTGATCAGTATATAAAATATTTCATTACAAAAATAACCACTTAGGCCTATATATTACCAAAATGATTTTTATTTCAACATAGTGACTTTTTTTAAATTATAGTGACCCTTTTTTGTTAATAAAACAACCATACTTTCTCTAATATTAGTGGTTCACAATAAATTAGTGTAAACCAGGTCCATTTAAGAATTTGTAAAATTGTTTTCCATCCTTTAGCAAAATAATTAAAGAAAACATTTTAAAAATTGACTTTTCGCAACTGGATAATAAATATGTCGACTGCGTGCAATTGTAGCCCGTAATTGCAATCCTACGTGCCAGGCTATTTGCTAAAAGCCTAAAAGTCAATTTTTCGTCAGTTGCTAATAGTGTTTTTCCACTAGTGTGATGAAGAGAAATCATTTTATATGA